GGGCCGACTGTATGTCATTTATATAGATTTTCATACCAGAATCATTCTTCTCACTCTGATTACTGAACTTGACTTCAGTCAAGTGCACTTAGCATCATTTTCTTAGGCTCTCCTCTGAAGAGGTTTCTTGAAGCTCAGGTCTTAAAAGTCTTGGTGACATTGGTACATAAGGATATTTTATAACCATTTCAGAGTCCTAACTTCAGGAACCCTGCACCTTTGGAAGAAAGTTGCCACATGCACCAGGAGGATGGGCAATCACACTGCAGTGAGCACCTTCCTTCTGTGGGGATTTTCCAGTTTCCCAGACCTGCAGAGTCTCCTCTTTGTGATGATTTTCTTCTCCCATGCAACCATTCTTGCTGCAAATGTGTCCATAATGGTGGCCATCAAGCTCACTCGCCACCTGCACACCCCCATGTACTTTTTCCTCTGTGGCCTGGCTTTTTCAGAAACCTGTACCACTGTGGTAATCATACCCCGCATGTTAGTGGACTTGCTATCAGACAGTAAGACCATCTCTCTTCCTGAGTGTGCCACACAGATGTTCTTCTTCTTTGGCTTGGGAGGCAACAACTGCTTCATCATGGCTGCCATGTCCTATGACCGTTACACTGCTATTCACAACCCGCTGCACTACCCTGTCCTGATGACCCGGAAGATCTGCTTTCAGCTGATGACGGCCTCCTGTGTCACTGGGATTGTGGTGTCACTGTGTATTGCCCTCATAGTATTCAACTTGTCTTTCTGTGACTCCAACATCATCCAGCACTTTTTTTGTGACATCTTGCCTGTGGTCTGCCTGGCTTGTGACTATACGCCCTATCACGAAATGGCTATATTTATGCTCTCTGCCTTTGTGTTGGTGGGCAGTTTTATCTTAATTATGATTTCCTATGTCTTCATTGGGTCCATAGTTATAAAGATGCCTTCTGCCAAAGGGAGGTATAAGGCTTTCTCAACTTGCTCCTCCCACCTCACTGTGGTGTGCATGCACTACGGATTTGCTGGTTTTATCTATTTGAGGCCCAAGGACAGTGACTCATTCCGTGAAGATATGCTGAGGGCTGTGACCTACACAGTGCTGACACCTCTGCTTAATCCCATTGTTTACAGTCTAAGAAACAAAGAAATGCAGATTGCCTTAAGGAAGGTACTAGACAGTACACACAGGTTCATCCCTCAGATGGTAAATAAAAGGACCCTGAACATTTAAAAATTACAGATTGCTGGAAAATGAAAGTGGAAAAAGTGGAGTACTTTTGATAAAAATCATCACTTTGTGTACAAAGCATTTAAAGTATTATCAAGTCACCTGATATGTCTTGGCATCACCATTTTCCCAGTACAAACAGGATACAATTCTAAATATTTTAAAACATATGTTAGTGTGTATGCATGTATGTATACATATATACATATGAGCATGCAATAAATTAAAACACATTTCAGAACACAGTATTTTCATAATAGCAGTTGGACGAATCTTTCTGTTTACGGACTGCAGTTGACTAGTCCTATATCTTGAATATTTCTATTTTTTCTCTAAAGGTTTACATTTTATAGTTCTACATTTTACATTGAACTCCATGATCTATTTTGAGTAAATTCTTGTATAAGGTGTGATTTTTAGGTTGAGGTGGTTTCCGCCCTCCATGGATATCCAATTGCTCCAGAACTCTTTATTGAAAAGCTTTCCTTCTGTCATTAGATTCCTTCTGCACCTTTTTAAAAAATCAGTTGGGCATACTTTTAGGTCTTTCTCTAGGTTTTCTAGTCAGTTTCATTATCTATGTATCTATTCTTTCATCAGTACCACAGTGTCCTGATGACTACAGCTACTTAAGTCAGTATCAGTAGAGTGATTCCTACCACTTTATTCTTCTCTTTCAAGATTATATTTTCTAGGACCATTCCTCTTCAGTAATGTAAGCAGTTAATGCTGCAAATTTTCCTCTCAGCACTTCTTTACCTGAATCTCATATGTTTTCATAAGTTACTTTTCATTTTCATTCTTTTCTATGTATTTTTTAAATATTGAGGTTCCAGGTCTTTTTATTATCATTTACTTTCTGTTTAGAGAATGTCTTTAGCCGTTACCCAAAGGTAGTTTTGTTAGGAACAAATTCTCATAGCTTTCCTTCAACTGAAATGTCTTTATTTATCCTTCATTTCTGAAGGGTACTTTTGCCAGATGTAGAACTTACATTTGAAAATTCTTTGCTTTTAGTACTTGGAAAATATTATGCCACTTCCTCTGGCCTTCATGGTTTTAGGTGAGAAATTTGTTTTCTTTCATATTGCTTTTCCCTCTGTGAGTAATAAGTCCTTTCTCTCTGAGTGATCTCAAGACTTCTTTTTGATTTTAATTTTCAAAACTTTAATTATGATATGTCTTAATATGGATCCCTTTGGCTCTATCCTGTTTGAGATTAACTCAGCTTCCTGAATCTGTAGCTCTATGTATTTCACCAAATTTTGGAAGTTTTCAGTCATGATTTTTTAAAATACTTATTCAGTCTCCTTTCTCCTTTTTTCTGAGACTCCCAAAATATGAATGTTATCTAATTTTTATTGTCTCACAGATTCATTATAGCTCTGTTTTTTTTTTTTAAATCCATTTTCTCTTTGTTTAGATCAGGCATTTCTACTCATCTTTCAAGTTCACTAATCCTACCCTCTGTCATCTCCATGTTACTATTGAGCTCATCCAGCCAGATTTTTAACTTCACTGATTGTATTTTTCAAATCTGGAAATTTCCCTTGGTTGTTTTCATAATTATGTTTCTTTAAATTTTTTTTAAAATTTGTGTCAAAAATATTAATGGTTGCTTATTGAAGCATTTGTTTGATAGCTGCCGTAAAATTCTTGTCAGATAATGTCAATGTCCTTTTCATCTTGGTGTGGGCATATTCTGTCTTTTCTCATTAAAGTGTGATCTTTCCGGTTCTAGGTATGATGGTGATTTTTACTGCATCAGAGACATTTACAATATTATACTATGAGACTCTGGATCAGTCTCAGTCTTTTTTAAGAGGACATCCCCCTGTCACTGCAACTACAAGGTGGGTGTGTATGTTCAGCTTCCTGCTGAGCCCTACTAACACTATTGGCAAAAATGGAGTGCTGAGTCTCCCACTGCCTCCTTGCAGATGAGTGAGATGGAAGTTCAGCTCCCCCACTGCCCTGTTTCCCCTTCCCACTGACAATACCCTGGCAGGGGAATCAAAAGATGGGTGTGGTAAAGAATAGCTCCCTGCCTGGCCCAAATGAGTCCTGGGGTGGGAGACAGGTATGGTTTGTCCATTAGTGTTTGTCTGGAGTAGGACTGATACTGCCAAAGGTTTTCTGTTCCGTGAAGGCCACCCTTTTCCCAGTGTTTTGGCTAGGAGGAACAGACTTCTTTTGGTCTGTGTCTCTTGGTGGTTCTGAGTTGAAGGCTTGTGCAGCATCCCATCCAGGATATGGGGACGCAATGAGAAAATGCAAGGACTCACCACTATGTGATTTCCTCAAGTCCAGTGTCCCTGGAGTCTGCCTTCTTCTCTGTCCTTTTTAGAACTTTCTTACGTTTGTTTGTTGTTGTATCTAGGGGTGTTTTTAATAATAATAGGGAGGGCCTGAGGGGAGTAGAGCAACTTCATCTTCAATGAAACCAGAAGTCTATGCCTTCAAACATTTAACAATATTTTTCCAGCTTCTTATTTTCATAGAAAGTTGGTCTAATACTGGTTTGCCTGACATATCCAGGTGTAGATGTCTGCATAATTACTTTGAACAGAAGGGGTTGGCTAGAATGAACTTATTTACAAAACAGAAACAGACTCACAGACATAGAAAACAAACTGATGGTTACCTGGTGTGGGGGAGGGATAAATTGCAACTTCAAAATTTGCAGATACAAACTAATATACATAAAATAGATAAACAAGTTTATAATGTATAGCACAGGGGACCATATTTAAAATCTTATAACCTATGGTGAAGAAGAATACGAGAATGAATGTATGTATGTTCCTATGTGACTGAAGTATTGTGCTGTACACCAGAAACTGACACAGCATTGTAAACTGATTGTACGTCAATAAAAATACATTAAAAAAAAAAACGGAAAGGGGTGGCTAGAATGAAATATGTCACAGACAAATGAAAATCCTCTAGTGAAGTATCCCAAAGGTCCCCTCATTCCACCCCCTCCACAAAGGGTATATACCTTAAAAGAAGTCAGAGTACTAAGAGTATATTTGTGACCTTGAGCTTTTGCTTAACCTTTACGTGCTTCAGTTACATCTTCTATAAAATATGAATAAAAATAAAACCTTTTAGGATTATTCTGCAGATTGATTGGGTCACTACTTGTGAATCACTGTAAACAGTAGCTGGAAGGTGTAAACAATCCCACATTGCTAGCTCCTATTGCAAACACTTCTACTGCTCCTTCTACTCTTACTAACATTTGACTTCTACATCTGCTAGCTCTGCAACTATGCAAAGACATAAGGGAGACATTATTCAGCAAAGGGTGATTACATAGCTTTCACTAAACTAGGCTAAGATTCTAGTTGCTAATCTGAGTTAAACAGTGTCAAGGCAGAGGTGTAATTGTGGAGAGCATGGGTTTGTGTAAAAGTCTGTCACAGGTGTTAGCAGGATCTGACACAAACATTCAATCACTTGAATCATGTTGACATGCAGCAGATTCACAGGCAGCCAAGTCAGTGGTTCATGCTAGACCAAAAACTTCATTCATCTACTTGTTAATTTCTCATTCATACATTTCAAATATACATTTATGTGCCCTGTGTTCCAGGAACAGTGTAAAAATCAGACACAATGAGAAAGAAAGACATTCAAGGTACATGTATGAAGCTTCCAGCATTTGGAGAAACTAAATACTGAATCTGTAGCTGCAAGTGCACTGAGCATTCTGAAAAAAAATATGCAGTGGTCTACAGGGGATAACAGGTGTACTTAATTTGGTCTGGAGACTCAAGAAGGATTCCAAGACTTTGGGAAACGAGGTTTAGGCTGGTACCTATAACATAAGTAGGTATTATCCAGGTGATGGGAAAAAGCATTCAGGTAGAGGTCCTGCCTGTAAGAGGGTCCTGAGGTAGCAAAGAATATGCATATACTGAAGATTTTAAAAGAAGACCAGGATACCTAGAGTTTGGGAGTTTGGAAAATGAGGGAAGAGTGCTGAGAGACAGAAATAAAACAGGAGCCACGTTCAGGATTTTATAAGCCATATTAAGAATTTTGGCCTTTATTCAACGTTTTTGGGGGATATTAACAAAGGAACTAATCTATTTAGATTTATGCCATAGTTGGTATATGGGGAATGAGTTTTAAGACGACAGCACGAGAGGAGGGGAAAGCTGGTTAGAGTTGTATCAGCTAGGATTCTCCAGAGACACAGAACCACTATGATCTTGTTGTTTTTGCTGTTCTTTTAAGGGAACTGGCTCACACAATTATGGGAGCTGGCAACTCCAAAACCCACAGGTCAGTCCAGGAGATTGGAAATTCCAGTAAGAACTGATGTCACAGTCTTGAATCCAAAGGAAGCCTAGGGACAGAATTCCTCTTTTTCAGGAGGCTTAAGTTTTTTTCTCTTAAGCCTTTCAACTTGTTTGGATGAGGGCCACCCACATTATGGACAGTAATCTGCTTTATTCAAAGTCTAATGATTTAAATGTTCACATCTTAAAAATACCTTCCCAGCAATGTCTAGACTGATGTTTGACCAAACAACTGGTCACTGTAGCCTAGCCAAGCTGACACATAAAAATAGCTATTACCAGAGTACAACTGTAAAATAAATGTGTAAATTGCCAAGCCGACACATAAAATTAGCTATTACAGGAGTACTTTTGAAAAATAAATGGATAAGGTAGTAGCTGGAAATAAAAGTGCTGACAATGAAAATGAAGAGACATGGGACAAAAATCTTGGACTCAGAATGTACAAGACTGACACTCATGCAGTCATGTGGAGGGAGAAAAATAAATTACCCTCAAGTTTCTAATCAGTATGCTGATTGAAAGATGGTGCCCCTTATTGGGATATGGAACATTGGAGGGGAGCAAGTTAGGGGTGGAAGGAGATAATTACTTTAGTTTTAGACAATTTGTGCTTGAGATTCAATAGACAAAAATATTTTTGTTGGAAGTACTATTTAGAGGACAAGGAAAGAGAAATAAACACAGTAGTCA